GGAAAAAAAATTAGAAATAAGATAACTCTGAGCATTTCAAATAATTTAATGGACTCTTCTTTCAGAGTTAAATTTGTATTGCAAAATGTACCTGATCTGGATGTTTGTACATACTCCTCTCCTACTGCTTTATTTGGAACAGAAACTTTCTTTTCAACGGTAGGCTAAATGGGTTTTGAAACAAAATGATTAATAAATAATGTGTGTTTCATACAATATGTACTCAATAATTCAAGATAAAAATATAAAAGTTATTACCTTCAAGTGAGGATACTTCTCAAGAGACTCTAAAAAGAAAAACGAACACATAATCAATTATATGTAAATATGACAAAGCCAATCACACATTTATGTAGTTAGCATGGAGCTGAATCCTAATGCTTGACTTTGGAAAATGATTACTTTCGGGTGTGNCTTGGATTCAATCATTGTTCTTAGCATTACTTACTTGGATTCATATCTATTACATATTTTGCTTTCCATGAGAGCTTTGTTAATTAATATTAATTCTCCAAGGATATGAATTCTTTATTATTAACAAAATTTAATTCTAACCATTTTAAGTTTAAATATGCATGACAGTATTGTGTTCTACACATGAGCTTAAAAAGACTTTTCATGAATATACTACTTTAAATAAAAAACACATTACAATGAGATGTTCTTTCCTTAGTACACTAATGTCTTCAGAATTCACTTTTTAAGTCTTAGATAAACACCATAAATTTATATGAAGAATGATATCCTTAAGTGTCCTAATTGTTCCCACGTAAAAAGAGGTTCAAAGAGTACAGCCATGAAACAAGAAATGAGTACATAACAAAAATATTTTCACTTTTGCCTTTTAAACAAAATGGTCAGATTTAAACTTTTTAAGACAAGTAAAAAAAAAAATCCAAAAAAAGTGGAATCGAAACTCAAAGTGGAAGCGAAACTCTAAAGGTCATGTCATCATCACGAATCCCATTATTGTGATCTCAGAAGTCCTGGGCTTTCAAGATCCCTCGGGGGTCCCAGAGGTCAGATAATACTAACTGCTATTTGCCATTTTCCCTCTTACACTCTTGTAAGTATACAGTGGAGTGTTTTCAGAGACATGACATGTCAGAGTTATAGCTCTAATGGTTAATGGGTCAAGGTTTTAATGGCTATTGGCATGTATGTGCGTGCTTGTATTTTACATTTTTTGTCTTAATTTCTAATATTGTTAATATCAATAGATACAACTCATTTAAAACTTCTTTGGAATCCACAATAATTTTTAATACTATAAAAGGGCCCTAGGCCAAAATTTCACAACCGGTGTTTTCAAAGACTGTGGCTACCAAATAGCCATTAAGGATAATTAATTACTTTCCTTATTTTTAATAATTAAAGATAATACAGACACCACACAGTTAAAGGTCAGAATTCTAATTAATATTTTACAACATTAGAAAATTCTTAGAGTCTTGTAATTAACCTCTATGAATCCATAACAAGTATAGGGATCTCATATACTTTAGGTATCAAAGCATAAGAGCAGAAACACCAAGTTAAAGCTTACATTTTAAAAATCACTTTATCTTATGCTGGCAAATATCGTTTTTTCAAATATGATACTAACAATGACATCTACATTATTTATGTCAAATCCTTCCATCAAATTTGGGAAAAAAAATTAGAAATAAGATAACTCTGAGCATTTCAAATAATTTAATGGACTCTTCTTCAGAGTTAAATTTGTATTGCAAAATGTACCTGATCTGGATGTTT